GAAGTCAGCTCTGCTCTCTGGTTCTGGTTCTGACAGTAAACCTTCAGTCCCTCTCAGTGAGATGTTTGTCCACGTGTCTCTCAGGGTGTCCTGTAGTTTGTCTCTGAGCTGTGACACAGCTGCTGTCACATCTTCAAAGTATCTCAGAGGACCAACATTGACGCTGGATGAGTGTGGAGACTCACTGAGTGCTGACACTGACTGGTAGTTGTGGACAAACTGGTTGTGGTCCTCTGTGTGTGAGAGCTGCTTCAGCTCAGCATCTTTCCTCTTCAGCTCAGTGATCTCCTGCTCCAGCTTCTCCTGGAGCTCTCGGACTCGACTGGCCTCAGTTTCCTGCTGGGATCTGATCTGCTGCTTCACTTCAGAGCTTCTTTTCTGGACGAGCCGGATCAGCTCACTGAAGATCTTCTCACTGTCCTCCACTGTTTTATCAGCAGAGACGTTGATGGCCTCCAGCTGCTGTTGAAGCAGCTTCACATCTTTCTCTCTGCCCTGGATTCTCTGCTGGATGTCCTCTCTCCTCACCTGGAGCTCCTTCTGCTTCTCTCTCCTTTCAGCCGCAGCTGAGACGATGTCGTGGCCTTTATGTTCATCCACCGTGCAGACATAACAGATGATCTGCTGATCAGTGCGACAGAACATCTTCATCACCTCATCGTGACGAGAGCAGATGTTCTCATGGAGCTTCTTGGAGGGCTCCACCAGCTGATGTTTCTTAAACTGAGCTACATCGTAATGAGGCTGGACGTGTTCCTCACAGTAAGAGACCAAACACATCAAACAGGACTTGATGGCTTTTAGTTTTCTTCCAGTGCAGACATCACAGGCCACATCTTCAGGTCCAGCATAGCTGTGATCAGCAGGAGCAGCTTGGAGTCCACTCGTCTTCAGCTGCTCAACTAAAGCTGCAAACATGATGTTTTTCTGCAGAACAGGCCTCGGTGTGAAGGTCTTCCTGCACTGAGGGCAGCTGTGGATCTTCTTCTGGTCCTCTCCATCCCAGAAGTCTTCAATACACTTCATGCAG